TGACCGTCTTACAGTGTATACAACGCATGCAGTAACAGGAGCAAAACACAACACAGAACACGATACACAAATGTATGTAGGAAGAATACTCACATAAAAAGATTATTGGAAAGTATTAAATATTTCAATACGTTCATTATGAATTTCACGAAAACCTGTCATTTGTTCTCCGTGTATGAATCGAGAGACGCAACAGAGAGACAGGTGCACAGAACTCGCTGATACTGTTGCAAAGGACTGTAACAATGCATGTGACTAAAAATAGGACTCAAATGTCACTTTGCGAGAAAATATGTGGTACCATATTTTGAAGATACAGATTTAATATCTGTATACTTTAAAGACATTTCACTACAAGCATAAATTGTTACCGACTGGCTACGCGCTGGACAGCCGAGTGATAAGGGTTAGAGTCCCTGTAGGGCTCAGACCGGCTCAGGGGTCCACCCAGCTTCCGATCCAATGGGTACCAGGGACTATTTTCCCGGCAGGACCTTGAAGCTGACAATCCAACTAGTGCCGAGGTCAAGAAAATGTGGATCTATACATCCACTCCTCCATACACCTTAATGGTATTGTGTTTAATTAGTTAACCACACGGGCAATTTGCCGATCACAGCGACCGCGCAGTCTGAGGCATTAACTGTCTTCGTCCGCTCAAATACGGGAATCATGGGTTTGAATTCCACTTGAAACACAAATGTCTGTATATGTTTATTCTGAGTTTGTACTGTCCTGCATGTAGGTAGTGACCTTGCTAAGGGCTGACCCCCTTCCCAAGGTCCAAGGAGTTCTATCGAATGTGTAAAAAGCTCAAGAAACTGAAAAAGTGACAAAGGGCCAGCAAAGGGCTGCAGAGCCATAGGTAGATAGATAACTTTTACAATATGCTTAGTCATAACCAAAATTAATGCTACCGAGACCCGCCAAAGTTTATGTTCCATTCCTCTTCTCGTCAGATCATGGCAGCAGCATTTTATATGGTCCTATTTTTCGGCATGTGGGGACTATACGCCACGTTGGTATGTATCGCGTGCAGTCAGCTGGAGAAGCTGCGAGCGAACCTCCTGGATATCAGACAGGAACACAAGACACAAGAACAGGACTCGGGTGCTGAGACTGACACAGAGGAAGAAGAGATCCAAGTACACACGTCTCAGGAAGTGTTCCGTCGGATGCAGGGAGAGCTCAAAGACTGCGTACGGCATCACCAGCAGATACTACGGTACGAACCATAATTGGAAATGGTAATTTCGTCTTTTGAAACATGTATGAAATAAGTAAAAACTCTTCAGTATGACCATCTGTTCTCATATATTTGTTCTAAGTAACAACTCACAACTTCTTGTGGTGTTAATGGGGAAAGTAGGGCCAAAATATGTTTTGTTTCAATATTATATTTCAGTTTCATGAAGGCAATGGAAGACACGCTGCATCCGGTACTGCTTGGGTTGTTCTTCATTGCAACAGGCTGCATCTGTTTGAGTGGTTTCTCCGTTGTCATGGTACGTATCCTAAACAGCACATGTCCTCATAGCTGCACCTCCTTGCTACTTTGATTGTTATTCCCCTTATTATTGTTATTATTATTATTATTATTATTTTGGAGGGGGTGGGTTTCCCCATGCACTGCGACCAGTTGTTGATCTATTGTGCGCCCCCTTTAATTATTCTACTAGTCGCCATGCCCTTCCAGTACTGGTTCTCGCTATCAGCCCCGTTCTGACAGCGAGGTCGGCCACCTCTCTGGCAGTGGTCCCCGATACTTCCCCATCTACCGGAGGAATTGGAAACTACTTGGGCAGGAAACTTTGCCTAATTTTGCTCAGGTCTCCTAGAGACATGAGAATCTTTTAAGTGCCGTAAATCTACGACACGGGACACACGGCTTAAAGTCCCTCCCGGAGGACTTGTTCCTTGAAATTTTCCGCCCTTAAAAATTCCACGACTTCCGCCGGGTTTGAATCCGCGTACCTTGAATCATGAGGTGGGAACGTTAACCCTAGACTACGGAGGCCGCTGTTATTCCTCTTCTTCCCTGCTCCCTGCATATCCTTCTTCCTTCATTTCTGGCTTCTCCTTCCGTCTTCTCTTTTATCTTCCTTTTTCTCTTTATTTATTCCTTCAACTCCATTGTCCTTGCTTTCTCTTTCTCTTTGTTTTGCTTATTTCCAATCATTCTCCCCTGTATCTGTTCTCCATTTTCCTTAATTACATTTTTCCCTTCTTCACCTATTTCTTTCTCATCTTCTATACTCCTATGCTATTTACCTTCTTTTTCCCGTCTCTATCATCAATAATACTGCCCCAATTTATTCCTGGGCTCATTGTCAATAAAATTAAAAATATTAGTTATTAGTTTCTTGCTTGAAAACAATCCCCTCCCTTCGTATTTTGATATAATGAACGCGCAGAAATGTGAAATGGACCTGCATAGCGCAGCCTTTGCTTCAGTTCTATCCAAACAAAATAGAACTGGATGATGTTGCAGTACCTACGTCTTGTATGAGAGACTAGTTCACTAGCAACTGACTTGTATCCCAAATGCCGGACAGTTATGCTTCTTGTTCTCTCTTCTGAAATCTGGGTTAACTGACACTGAAATAATTATCACTCCTGTGTATGCCCCATTACGCATTAAATCACTTGACATGAGTCAGTTATTCTGGAGCAGCGCTTTTCTGAAAAATACAGAATTGGATGTGGCATAAAGACTACAACTTCCATATATCATTTATATTCATCTTCGTCTCTTCCGTGGCCATCTTGCCAATGTGGCGACTGAATGGTTAGCTCTTCCATTTCGCATTTGGAAAGAATCGTATTCGAGTCCTGCTCTTCGGACCAGTTACCCTTAGCTAGTGCCTTGTTCCTCCGTGTATAGTGGGGTACTTCCTCAAGTATCTCAGTACACTTCCCTTCCACATCATTTGCAGTGTTCTATTCACAGATCACAGCTTCATCGCTCACAGAGTTGAAAATTTGCCTTAAATAAACCAAAAATCAAACCATTTCTTCTGCTCCATCTCCTTTTTCCCCTTCGCCATCTTTTTATTATCCGAAATCTCACAGTTGTTGGTAAAGCGCCTGATGGAGCAACGGAGCCCTCGATGTGCTGACAATATTATTTACATCCACAGAACTGGGGAGAAGTCATGCCAATGAGTCAAGCTGCTTTGATATACTTCGCAATGATGTTCTTCTTGTTCGCCTTCTGTCGGCTTGGAGAAGAGCTCACACATCAGGTAATAAGTCTCACATCTTCACACCAAATTAGATTGCTATCCTTGTAACAGTTCGTGGAGTTCCATAGGGTTGAGAGACGTCGAGGTTCCTATATTTTCTCTAAACAGTAGGCTCACAATGGTGGTGAGGTTGTCAGCTTTACGGTAGGACCACACTTTACTCCCAGGAAAGTCTCTGGTACTCACTTATGTTAGATGCTTAGTCGATCCCAGGGTAATAATGCGGCTGCAAAATCGCATAATCTTTTCAGGAATCGAACCCGCGACGTTTCGGCATGTAGTATAGTGCCTCAACTAACTACGCTACCGCGTGCCCCCAAAAAGTAGGTTGCATCATGTCAAAAAGAAGGTGCTAATGTCGGCATTATGCATAGCTCTCTGCACCCGTGAAGTACGCAGGCCTCTAGTAAAGATAAGGCGGCCAAGCATGGTGACAGGTGATTGTTCCCAGTGCTGTGGTACTATCCAGGATGCTTTTAAAAGTGGCAATGTCAGAGGCAGGCAACAGTCAATAAAACAATTTTTTTTTTAGTTTCGTGGGGGGGGGGCTGATTCCACTTGGTACGTTGGCCACTAATTGGCCTGTTCTACCAGCCTCGAATGATGGATGATGAAAGTGGAACAGTTGGTGGAATGAGAATTGGCAGGGGAAACCTAAGTACTCGGAAGAAACCTACCCCATGCCACTTTGTCCATCACAAATCCCACATGACCTGACCTGGGCTCGAACCAGGGCCGCTGTTGTGGGAAACCGGCGACCAACTGTCTGAGCTATTGAACGGCTAATAAAACAGTTAAAAGGATAATTTCTTCTTTTCTTACAAATATGATAATTCTGTCATCACGAAGATATTTAAAATGAATATTTTAATGGTATTTCCATTACAAGTTGTACAGTCAATGAAAATGATAAGAACATGTAGGACCATTCATCCCCTAGACGGGAAATTCAGCCGCTTTTTGTATGTAATTTTCGTCCGCTGTTTTTGTACAAGTTGGGTTTACAATGTGCGAGGTTATTGTTGCATAAAAGACAAGAGCTAGCAAATACCCATTTCTGTCATCGTTGACCTAAGTCCCAGACCGCCTCTGCGCTTTCATTTTATGATTACACCCCCACGTGTTTGATTTGGAAACTGTACATTGGTTGTCACTTACCCACTGGTCACCATCCAAGGATGTCCCAGTGGTCGTAATTTATGTGGTCTCCCTTTCTTGCAGTAAAGGACGTGTGGTCTGTTAACACAGTACACGGACAGATAAATGTGAAGTGTTTTAGTTCATCAGGACAGAGAATGGTGTTTAACTGAGATTCTAATGTTCAAAATTTCACAACTGATTGTGGGCTATGTCTTCAATTTGTCTATCCCGACTTCTTGTATTGCTTTTTAATGCTCCAGTATCCTTATTCGCAGCATCCATTTAGTAGTGAGAGAAGAAATGCCCAGAAACAGCATAGAAATGAAACATCACTGTTTTCGCTGGAAACGCAAACACCTTACTGAGTTGTCCTGAAGGATCTGTCTGTGGGCATTAATATATTGTAACGTGCATATCCAAACCGTCACTTCCTACACAACGGAAGCAACGCAATATCGTAATCTTAACAATGAGTCTCCATGGTTACACGGATTGTTAGAAGCATTGTGTAACAACGGTAAATATTGCATTTTGTTGAACCAGCAGGAATAATGCACTTCCGCGGCAATGAGTGTAGGACACGTTAAGACTGAACTGTGAGAAATGGTATCTAGTATCCGGTCCGCATAATGAGATTCAGACTCAGGTATCTCCACCGTGACCCTGCGAGTCATAGGAGGCGAGGAAAAGGGGAGTCTCAAATTTGAGACAGTAAAATATGGTCTTGAGTACCAAGGGACTCGGGCCCGAGAAAGACTGCGCTGGCAAGGACCAGCAGCATATAAAAAGAGAGACCGGTCCGCTCGTCAGAGAAGGCGTCCACAAAAAACAAGACCGTAACTGTCAAACAATAATAGAGATCTGGTTACAAGCCCCAGATGGGTGCTTTAAGCTAGGACAGACTGGCTGACTGACCGTCGGTCGTAAAATGAGACTCAGACTCAGATATCTCAGAGTTAGAAGACCAGAGTTGGATAGACCGCGTGAACGATAGTTGGAAGACACGCTTGAAATATAGCCGCCGCAGAAGCCAAGGTTGGAAAACAGAGTCTAGCATTCTCCGAATTAGTTGGATCGAGTGAGCGGAGCCGCATTAGCAGTAAAAGTGATACTAACTGTACTTGAGTGTGTAAAAGCGAGCGTTCAATAAATATTCGCTAAATCCGAAATATATTAATAATATATTATATAATTTTATAATTATATAGTAATTTTCTTTTATTTTCCGTTTAATCGCCATATTTAATGAACCATCAAAGCCAGGCATGTGAAATCTGGTATAATGATATAGAATAAAATATAACAATACCTAACTGCACATTATGTACGAATACTGCTTGTAATTAAGGAATTACAAGCATGATGGTATTCGAATCTTCGACGTTATGTCTGACAAATGTTACTTATAGAATCTATACTAATTAATGCGTCCTTTCTTTCCTTTCAAAAATTTCGTCACAATTTTCAGACATGTTAACCTCAATTTTCAGCATTTTGCAACTCACAGAATGCCTAATTGTTGCTTATAAAACTGATCTTTCTGAAAAATGAGTTTAATCAATTCAATTTTATACTGTCTTCCAGGTTTCTGCAGAATGTTGCAGCCTGAAAAGTGGATACCACAGTTTTGGACCAACATACTGTCTCATACTTAACGGCAGATTCAAGATGGCAGTAAATATTTTCACCTACAGGCTACAATATGATGTCATAGTCCAAAAGACCAAAATATGAAATTTTAAATCCGCGAAATCCTCAAATTTTATCATTGATTTTCAGACTGTGTAAAACTAAATTCTTATAAATTTGATTTTTTTTTTCAGGCAAAGAGTGTAAGAGACGCAGTCTGGGAAAGCAACTGGGTGGGAGCTCCGGTGCCTTTCCAACACTCTCTCATCATCATCAATATCATAGCTAGCAAGAAGTTCAGCCTCACAGCTGGGAAATTTGTGCCAGTGTCCAACAAAACCATGCTCAGCGTAAGAAAGAGTATTTTTACGAATAAGGCCATAAAATGAACATGTTGTATGATGCTCTTTTTCTGTCTGTCCACATATGTTATCACCGAAATTAATCGATTTCTTTCGATTACATTTTTATTGACAGTCTACATTAAAGGCTGCAAAGTGAATTTAAATTCTATCTGCAGGAATCTAACAGACACATTACTTGGGAAGAAGATTTTCCATCTTCCGGGATATAACATCGTGTAGGCCTGCCTCGCCATCTAACCAGTTCTCGCTGATTTCTTGCTCGGCTGATTTTCGATCCTGAAGATGGAGGTGATACTAACCCCCACTAAGCGAAAAAAAATATATATGGAACTTCAGCTGACAGATATCATAAAGGGGGTCCTTCTCTTGCTTGCTTCACAATTTGTATTCTTGATCTTATGAATTTTCAGACATAACTTGTTCATTTAGGTAAACTGGTATAGAATATTAATTTCCCTTTCTGCGGCAGGCTGTCCCGGTTCCAGCCTGGTATGATACTGAAAACTTGAAAGAAATCTCTCTTTCATGAAAGCTATATATCCCATATGGGAGCAAAATCTGATTTTTCAAACCCATGAGCTTGATTCCATAAAAATTTAAGGAAGTGAAAGGATGTATTAAATTGAGAAATAATATAGAAATGAACGGATGAATTATTTTAGTAGTTATTTGTTTATCAGTTTATTTGATGTGTAGTCTCTCCTGTTCATTAAAACTAGAATTGGATGTTTATTCCGTGTGCAGCAAATTAATCAGGTTTTAATTTGATATCCTTCTACTATAAATACTTTTAGAGATTTTACTGTACAAACTTGAAGACAGACTACAAATTTTAAAACCAGTTATATTCAAATCTACAATCAGCAGTTACCTCCTTTATGTTCACAGATTTTCAACCAGACAATCTCCTTCTTCATGTTTCTCCTCAAAGTCAAAGAAGAAACCGATCACACCGACCACAGTTAAGAATGTCGTGCCTCATCATCATTATCAAGTGCCACAAAACATCCATTGAAATTTGACAACATTTTACACTTCTTATTCACAGAAAACTTGTTGTCACTGCTGAACTGTCGCGATCATTACTGGTAGCAAGGTCAGTTACCTGCAGATTATAACATTAGTTAGCAGCTACATCTGCAGCCCAGTGTGGATTTAACTGGACTCCAAAGAAACCAGCTGTTCTGTCATTACAACACGGAGAAAAAGAATCGGAAAAAAGATCATTTCCATGAAAATATAAAACATTCAAGTTACTTTGGTGCATGGATCATGCCATAGTCCAGGCAATTAGTAGCCAGATTCTCAATAGAGGAACCTAGGTTCAAACCCAGGGCTGTCTCTGTGGGACTTTTTATGGGTAAAGAGGCATTGGGACAGTTTTTCTCCGATTATTTTGATCTTTCCCTAACAGTTTTATTCCACCAGTCTCTCATCAGTCATCAGAGGCTGGTACAAAAGTCCATTTGCATCTGCAGTGCTAAGGTACTCCACCTCACCCCACCCCAAGAATAGAAAAGGAATCTTCTTCATATGTAATGTATGTCTCTGGAAAACTTACATATAGAGAAGTTATTGAAACAGCTCAGACTGCAATTTTATGAATAATGTAGTACGTCAGGATCATCCATAGAATGTTCTGTAGTATGTGGCTACAGCAACATGCTGAGATATAAAATTTGTAAGATAAAAGAGACTTAAGAAAATAATAATTTTACTTCCTCATTAAAAATATCTGAAGATCTAAAAGACAAAATTGATTAGCTTGAAATGAACTATAAGAACAAAAACATTAGAGACCTGTACAGAGGAATAAATGATTTCAAGAAGGGTTACCGACATAGAAGTAACTTAGTAATATATGACAAGGGCCGCGCCATAGCTCAAGCGGTTAGTCGCTGGCTTCCAATCGCGGCTGCCCGGGTTCGATCCCGGGTCTGGTCAAGTGGGATTTGTGGTGAACAAAGTGGCGCTGGGGCGGGTTTTCTCCGAGTATTTCGGTTTCCACTGCCAATCTTCAGTCCACCAAAATTTTCCATCATCATAATCACCGGGGACAGGCTACAATAGGTCAATCAGTGGCCGACGTGCCGAGTGCACCCAGTTGGACTCCACCTCCTACTAAGCGAAATTTAAATATATGACGATGATGATCTGCTTGCAAATTCCCAAAACATTTTGAATATGTGAAAGAACTACTTTTTTCAGTTATTGAATATACACAAGGTCAATGGTGTTAGAAAGATAGAAATACATACAGCTGAGCCTTTAGTACCTAAACGTAACCCTTTTTTAGATTGAAATTGCTATTGCAAAGTTGAAAGGGTAAGGATAAGGAAAATTTACCTTATCAGTGGAAGGAGTCTATTATTGTACTAGTTAACAAGAAGAGTGATAAAACTGACTGTAGCAATTATGGTGGGATATCATTGCTATCAACTTCATACAAAACTTTCATCCATCATCCTTCTGTCAAGGTTAAGTCCATATGCAGAAGAAGTTATTTGGGATCATCATATCAAATACTGATTAGATTTTTACGTTCATCAGATACTGGAGAAAAAAGGGAGTACAATAAGACACTATATCAGCTATTCATAGACTTCAAGAAAGCCTGTGATTCATTTAGGGTGGAAGCATTATACAATACTCTCATAGACTGTTTATATACCCATGAAATTAGTTAGGTTGATTAAATGTATTTAAATGAAATATATAGTAAAATTCGTAAAAGTAAACATTTGTCTGATAAATTTCTTACTCAAAATGATCTACTCGTAAAATAAGGAGAAGCTTTATCGCCACTGCTTTTCAACACTGCCTTAGAATGTACCGTTACGAAGGTCCAGAAAAACCGGGTGGGTATGAAATAAAATGGGACACATCAGTTGCTGTTCCATACTGATGACGTGAATCTACTGGGAGATAACATAGATGCCATAAAGGAAAACAAAGAAACTTTAATTGGGGAGGATGTTGAGAAGTAAAACTAAGTCTATATTGCTGTCTTGTTACCAGAATGCGGGACAGAATCGTTACATAAAGGGAGGTAACAGATCCTCTGAAACTGTAGCACAGTTTAAATATTTGGCAATGGCAGTAATAAAACAAAATTTGATTCATGAGTAAATTAAGAGGAGACTGTAGTTGGGTAATTCTTGCTACAATTCAGTCCAGAACCTTCTGTCTTCTCGTCTGCTGTCTAAAAACGTAAAAATTAGAATATACAAAATTATAATTTTGCCTGTGGTTCCATATGGGTGTGAAATTTGGTCTCTGATATGAAGGGAGGAACATAGACTGAGGGTGTCTGCGAACAGGATGCTGAGGAGAATATTTAGACCAAAGAGAGATGAAGTGACAGGAGATTGGAGAAAACTGTATAGCGAGGAGCTTCATAACTTGTACTGTTCGCCAAATATAAATATAAAGATCAAGACAAAGAGGATGAAATCAGTGGGTCACGTAGCACGAATGAGAGAAATGGAGCAATGCATATGGGATATTGGTAGTGTACAATACGTAAATATTTGAGTAATTGTGGGTATGAAACTTATATCCGAAGGCCGGAAAATAAGCAAGTACAACACAAAGTTTTCTTCGGTTCTCTTTCCTCCCCTTCCCACTTTTAGTGAAATAGTCGTGTTTCTTCATAGATTCAAATTGTAATGCCTTGTATGCTTCTAAATGAACAGTCTCTGGTCAGCATCCACTCGTGATTACTTCTGTCAGCGGAGTGTCAAGGCGGAGAAAAAAAAAATTCTAAGAGTGGAAGCTGTGTTTTGCTAACAAAACATGGTGTTCGTTGCTGTACATTTGAAGTCATGCGCCTCTAAATGAAGTGTGATACGTTTTGGAGACAAATCATTAATGATTCTTGAAAAAAAACTACCAACTTGTTGCATGTATTGATTAATATTGCAGCAAATAATACGACAAACAAAAGTAGAAGGTTGAACGAATAAAGATTAGACAAAGAAATGTTTTCCGAAATATATTTTACCGCATCTGTTGAATTATACCTCGGATAGCGCAGACAATAAGTAAATGGCTAAGACTTAGAAGAACCGAAATTCGATTCGCGGTAGATGCACAATTGTTCCCTTAGCCATCACGCCGAGACAAGCCTCATGTCCAACGGGTGGGGGGCGATCGGTCCATGAAAGTCAAATAGCCGGAGCCTGAAGCTGATTCTTCACCTGCGTCTAGTGCTGAGGTATAGGATGCAGGAACCTTTAATTGATTATTTAATGATAACATTTCAATATATTCTTTAACACTTAATACCACATGTTTCGGCCTCAAAGGGCCATCTTCAGGTGTTTTATTACAGATATTTAATCAATACCTTGTTAAAACTGCTACACTGTTTCTCTGTTCCAATTCATTTTAAAAACCACACGCTGCAGTCCTCCTTTAATTAAACGAGATACAATTCTTTTATAATTTATTGTTTCACTTCACTCAGGGTGTCGTCACTTCCGTAAAATATATTAAAATATTTTCCCCGGCAGCTTGCTCCTCACATTAGTTATTTGCGCCTGGTTTTCGTTTCCTCCTCAATAATTGGTGTTGTCTTTACTAGTCTAGACTAGTACCGTGATTTCCCACTCTCCATCAGTTGCCCCTTTTTTATCGAAGATACAAGGTTGGCATTTTTTATGCTATTTCGAAGCCACTTTCCTTTAAATAAAGTTCAATGCGTTGTATGCTCTTTTCCACTTCCGATACGCCAATTATGCTACATCTGTTAACTGCATAAACTGCCACGTCGTCTGCGTATTCGAGGAGTTTGTAGTTACGGTTGATTTTGGATTTCAGTCCTGCCATATAAAGTGAATATAAGGTTGGGCTCAGAACACTACCCTGCGGTAAGCCTTTGTATGTCCAGTCTTCGAGATCTAGCCCTCCATAGTTTGCCTCTAGTTCCCTCGCGGAGACCAGGTTGAATAAAGGCCAACAGGTTTCCCGAGAAGCCTACTGCTTTGAGTCTCCATCAGTGCCGCAGCGGACGTTGTCCTATGCGCTTTTAATGTCTAGGAATAAGGCCGAAACTCTGTTCCGTTCTTCAAATGCTTTTATTATTTCAGTTGTTAGCACTGCTAGGTTGTCTGTGCAACCCTTGTTTCGCCGAAAGCCATATTGTGTTACTGAGAACTTCCAATTCTTTTCTGGCCACCAGGAGATGCGCATGTTTATCATCTATTCTAATACCTTGCACACGCAGGATGCCATGGATATACGTCTTACATTCGTTTTGTCTCTCTTAGGGATAAAAAATATTCTATAATTTTTCCAGTCGCCTGGGAACACTCTTGCTCTTAAAATATTGTTGTAAATTTCTAGCAGAATTTCTAAAGCTTCATTTGGCAAATTGTGTATTATGGCATAGTCTGTTCCACCCCCTCCCGGGCTGGAACGGACTCTGAGGTTTTTAATTGAGAAGTGAAGTTCTTGAATTGTGTAATCTGAGTCCAGGAATTGATCCTGATTTTCATGATCGACTGCCGGTGCTTGATTGGGTTCATCCACACCTGAGCATAGCTTTTCAAAAGTCGTTTTGGAGGAATTAACAAGTTCTTCTTTATATTCTCGTTCCCGTTCTGTCTTGTTGAATCTGTATTTTAGTCTTTTCATTCTATCACAAATGTACGATGGATTCGTGGATTTATCTATTCTCTCGCAGAAAGTTTTCCAGTGCCCTAGCAGAAAGTTTTCCAGTGCTCCTATTTTTTTGCGATAATCGCCGCCATTTTGTATTCCAAAAATGTCTTTTCAGTTTTACAGTATTTCCATTTAAGCAATGTAGCTTTTATAATTCTAATTACCTTATCGGATTCTCTGTTCCACCATAAACGCTCTGGTTGTTTATCTCTATTTCCTATTTTTTCTTGACCTCCATTTCCGATGTTGTTTTTGTTTTTTCTTTTAGTAGTGGTCTCTGCTAATTTCCCATTAATTATCTGGACTAAATTATCATACCTTTCCTTTACGTCCCTCTCTCTCTTCCGTCCCTCATGCGTTTTGGCTTCCGTAATTTTTTCTTTAACTTTTTCCATGAAGACAGTCCAATCAGTGTGTTTACTGTGCAATCTAGAAGCCTTTTTGCTGCATTTCCTCGGCTCTACTTTGCTATTATCCTCGATTAAAATTGAATAATGGTCGCTGTTCCAAGGGTCTGTTCCAACCTTCAGGTATATAACAGTGCTGCCCTTGGGTCCACAGAAGTTAGGTCGAGGGCTGCCTTGGATCCTGTGACATTGGAGATATGTGCCGGGGAGCCGTCATTTAGCTACGTGAGGTTTGTTTCCAGTTCACTGATGCAATGGTACAGGTTGTTTCCGTTTGTACAATTTTTCGAATTACTCCACGAATTATGATGTCCATTAAAGTCTTCGCTAATTAAGAATTTTCCTTTGAATTGTGTGAAAAATAATTTCCATACTCAGCTCGATTTTCATGTGTGGCTGCTTGTAACATGACACAATATTTTATCTTGGTCCATATATAGTTCAATTGCACACGCTTCAATTTTGCCGTCACCATCACATAAACCATTCTTACACAAATATTTCAGTTTGTTATTTATAAAAATGGCAACTCAACCACCTGCCGTTTGTTCCTTTCTTTTCTCACCATGTCAAACCCTTTCAGGTATACACTTTCTGCTCCGTCAAGCCAGGTGTCTGATATCATTATGACATCTATGATTTGGCTCCTCTGTTGGAATTCGGGGAACTTGCTTCTTGGGCTCCTATAGTTCCACTGAACTATCTGCTTCACCAAGCAAGGTCTCTGATAGCAT